ATAACTGCCGCTTTTGTCCAACTATCTAAAATTCAAATATGCCACACAGGAAGTTTTTTTTTTTTGGCCACTTGAACTTGCCAGGGGTCGTAGAGTATTTACCTTTTTGTTGTGATTAGGGCCATACTGTTCTCTCCTTCTGTGGTGAAAAAAATCTTGGGCAATTGTATACTGTTATGAGAGTATTGACTCAAATGTGGACTTTTTCACAAAACAGAAGTTCCATTTTGGGGTTGTTCCTCAGTTTGAATCAATAATACCCAAAGAGAGGTACGCTTTTGTGGATTTGGCACTGTTTTTGTACATATAAGTTAGCAACGAAATCATAATAGTCAACAACATTTTGGGGTGCAAGGAGAACAAAAAAAACCCTAGATATCTCACGGGCCCAAATGCCACTTCTGTTAGCAATTTCCACACTTGAGGCAAAGCTTCACTGGAGTTACTTGGCGGAAATATAAACACCCGAAATGTTTGATTCGTGTCATGCTTGCCTCAGTACATGATATTTTTCATCTTCCAAATATCCCGCACTCTAATGGAGACGTCGGAAATTCAGTTGAAAATGGCATTAGAATTAGGATTGTAATATCCCGGTGTTACGAGCTCCGCTCTCTTTGGAAGAAATACATTTAACAAGTTTTGCGAATGCAGCCTCATTTAAGTGATATTGCTCGAATCCGTGCGTCGATTTCATTTTCTCTGTTTCTATTTCTCGACCTTCTAGGCTCGTTGCTCATCATCTCGTCTTCTCATCGTTTGTTCTCGGGGAGGGCTAACCGCATACCTTTCTTTTTCGGAATGGAATTACTGATTTAATTTATGTGCCCTTTGACGTAACGTTAACTAATTATTCCGTGTTCATCTTGAGCGATCTTTGTTTCTAAATTTTGATCAGCTGATCCAAGCGTTTCATACCCTTTTCTATTGCTTGCGTAGCTTCGTCTAGTCGGTCTTCTTTCCACACTTGTAAAAACCCGTTGCACTATTTGATAACTTTCTCTTCTTAGAGCTGGAATACCCTCTAAGCGTGAGTCCCGCTCTTGGGTCGGTGGAGTCCATTAGCACGTTGAGAAACACAGCGAGAAGCATCGCTTTTTGTGCATACTAAGATACAAACGTGTAGGGGTAACCGATATCGTCGTCAATTTACACGCTGGTTTGTTTGGATTAAAATAGAAAACAGCGTAACTACATTTTCCCGGCACTCAATTCGCCGTCCAAAACAACGCGTATTTTGCTCTATATTTGTATGGCTTTTTGGAGGCCAAAACCGTCCAACGATTCAAGTCCCGGGAGCCTGTACACGGTAAACTGGATAGAACAGTTAGCAACGTGTTTGATGACTAGAAAGACTTCGTGCTGGCTCCTTTAGTTTAAGTGACATAGGAGTAAACATTAGATCAATGTTTCGATTACGACGTGCCAAGCAAAGAAACAGAAAAAAAAGGAACGGGGTTAGACGCATTCTCTATCTGAGGTATAAAATCATACCCACTGTCCATATCGACTTACTATCAATTACCGACCACTTAAACCCAAGCATAGAATCATCTTCAAATTAGCTTACTTTCACTACAAATCACACCACAAAGGCAACACGAAAACTCTGTGTTACACTCAGAACAAGGAATAATGTGTTGCTTGGTTAATTCCCAGCATGTCACCAGAGCAACTTTAAAGTGCGCCACCATGGTAGAATGTACGCCACTATGGAAAATAGTGCTACTGGGTTTGATATAACCAATGAGGCCTATAATGCCACCAAGACCTACCGATGCCACCAAGGCTAAATAATGAACAATGTGGTCTTGGATATATCAATAACTAGTTTGGCTTGGCCTTGAACTGGCCCTAGCGTTTGCTTTCTGGAAGCGTAAGGATAGCACAATTAGCTAAGCGGTCTTTAGAAAACCCACACAAGTGCCATAACTAATTCATCTTCTAGCAAACTCGGCCGTCATAAAAAAATGAAATATGCATCATCGACAGCAATGTGTATAAACCCCCAACCCAACAAAATATTTTGAACCCCAAGGTGCAGAAAACCTGGAATCCGCGCGTTGTTTATAGCTTAATCCAATATTTTTATTTAACTAAATACTAAATTCAACACTTTCACTGTTAATTCGAAGGTTCCAATTTTGATTCAACACTTTCAAAGCTTACAGACTTGGATATATTGGAATAAGATTCAAGTTCCTACATTCAACTGGAAACTGAAACGGCGCTAACGTTTAACAAACAGGGGTACAAAACATTGTCTTTTTATAATATTTTTATACGCTTTACTGTATAACTGAATATACAGTGTTTTCTTTTAATCACTACATGAGGTAGTTGTGTGGTTTGTAAGAAAACTTAACTTATTGACGCTTTATAAACGTATCATTATTATCATCATCATTATTATAGCCGACACAACACCCACACTGTCCCCATTTGGAAGGAAAACATCAACGTTGGTTACACAGTTAGAAAACAGTCACTTTTGTCACACGTTGGGCTGTGTACAGGAATTTTAAGAACTGCAAAGCGGCACATTTCCTTAAAAACGTTATCTCCATCACCACTATGACGTGGGCAAGGATTTCCCCTTCTCTCTTTCTCTCCCCAGTTTTCTTTTTTGCTGATGTCAGGTTTTTATCGTTGAAATTCATTTCTATCCTTTAACCTAACTGGGATCTTTTCATTTAACTGAATAAATTTTCTTGAAGCCCAATCCTGCCCCATCTGTGGACCGGTAGTCAACTACGCGCTGCTCCAGGGAAACACCCAATTCCTGTAGCGGACCGCCCCCGAGGAAGGAGTTACCCTGGCCATTGAAGCTGATCAGGGCAATGTGGTCATGTACGTCTCCACACCACACCCAACCCCAATAAGGCGTTTCACGACGACCGCCTGGAGGTGACGGGGGCAGGGCAGGGTGGAAGTCTTCATCGGACCCGAGGAATTCTTGAATAAGGGCAACCTCTCGGTAGAGATGAACCACGGTGACGTCCAAAAGCGACAGGTGAGCGCAGTTTGATTGTTGCTAAGGTTTTGATAATTGAAACTTTGAAATAGGGAACTTCCGCGAAGTATGGTGGCCCTAGAGGGACATCGCCAATCGTCGATGTTAGCGTCAATATGTGCGATCAAATGCACGACTTGTTTCTCCGGGCGAAAATATTGCCGCATTTTTTTTTCAGCAAGCCAGGTGGAGAGAGAAGCTGCATGGCTATAGACACAGCAATTGGTTTTTAACGTCGTGCCCCCTGCGTTGTGTCCAAACTGCCAAGCCGAATAATGACTTGAGGCCATGCCAAAAAGTGCGCGTACGTGTCAACTCTTCATTTCCGGCTGGCTTGCTGTAAAAAAAAATCGTGGCAATATTTCCGACCAGAGAGCAAATTGCAAATTTGGTCACAAATATGGACATCAGTAATGTTGATTGACGATGTATCTCCAGGGCCACCGTTTTAAAACCCTCTGGCGAGACATCACGTGACCAAACAACCTAAGAAATCACGTGATCTGATTGTTCTACCAACTGCCATGCACATCACCCGATCGAACTCCAATAACTTCTTGAATATGTAATTTGGGAGGTGTCCATATTTGCACTTTTTGTTTTCAGTGATTCATTTATGTTAAAAGCGCTACCACTGACTACCTGGTGTAAACGTCCATAAATAGTAATACTAATAACTGCCCAGCCAAGGGTGAATTCCAGTGGGGGGGGGGACGGGGTCAATGTCCGCTTCCCCCACAAATGTAAGGCAATGTTAGGTTCCATTTTATGTCCCGTCCCTCAAGTACAGTAGCACGTGGTAAAATCCCCCTAAATGTTAGAAAAAAAATGACCTCCCCCAAGAGTTTGCTATACAGTCGAAAATTTGATTCTATCCGCCCGAGAAACTGCCTGTCAATCTTGCCTTTGTTACAGGTAGCTGCAAATATTTTGAATCTGACTTTCTGCATATTCACGCTTGTAATGCTGCATTTACATTCTGTCAATGACAGGAGGATGACCTTTAAACAGAAAAGTGCATGAAAAAGGCCCATTGTTTAGGTGTGTGAATGTGCCATACAAAGCACTAAAACATTGGTGCGAGTGAAACTTGTTGCTGGCAAAACTATAAGATATCGACAGAAATCCACGGAGATGGCACAATTATGACCAGAATCAGACAAAATCTGAAGTCTGCAGTTGACCAGATTAACCACCCTAATACATGAGGCTTAAAAAAACCCCAAAATTTCCCATTGTATAAAACGAAGGTGAAAGCTGCAATGTTGGGTAGTAAATTGGACAGCATTTTAAAATCAACCAACAGAAAAGAGCTTCAAAAATATCTGAAAAGATCTAATAAAAACTGTCTGCGGGTGGATTCGAACCAGAGTCATCCGTAATGATAACGCTTATGGTTACCCTCACCCACTTTACTACGCCAGTTATACTGTGTGCGGGTTAATCGCTAGCTTATCTTTTTAAAGCCTCATTTATTAACAGTGCACAGCGGTACTTAGTTGATGGGGTGCTTATCAACCGACGCAATATTTTGTTCCCAATGAGCTCAGGCAATGCCAAGTATCACGCTCCAAGGGTGTGGTTATTTGTTTGGGTAAAAGCTTTATTTTAATGCAAATGACTTCCTTCCATGCCGTCTACTCATATCACACTTGGTTTGTCAAATCGAATTGGCTGTATTAACGCGCCGAAGTCACGTTCCTCCTCGCTCCAACCAATTAACGAAAGGAATACCAATACGTCATACTGTTTTATGCATTGAATGTCTCGAAATCAGGGCCTTGAAATGACCCCCAACTTCATAACATTCACGGAAATGGGAAAGTCTACAAAATAACAGATATTGTACCTCACTAATGTAAAAAAAAAAAAGTAACATAAATTGAAATTTTGTTGCGGAGAAATATCTGGGAGTGTTCCGTCTGGCACAGCAGGAAACGCAGACCGCGACTTCTCATTGTCATTTACGTACGCAGTAAGATTTCAAGAGGGCTAGAGGACGGTTTGCCACCGATGCTTCCGACTTTTTCCCCTGGGCGGTAAATGTACCTTTTGAGTGTGGAAAGCTGAAAGTCGGTAGAGACTGCCTTTACCGTTTGACAGAAGTATGGACGGGGGATTTAGTGATTTTGGACTACAACACCAGGAAAAATCAGGTAGTCTTTGGAGGATGTAAAGTCCCCGAAAGCTTCGGCCCAATGCAACATGCATACACGGCAGGCCCAGCAGTGGACTGACCCTGCAGACAAGCCGGGGCCCCGGCCCAAGACATCTCTCGACTCGATGGATTTGGACTACGACTTCAGGATGGACATATCAAATCCAGGACTGGTTTAGGTCTTCGTCACAAAGGCCCCTGAAGAGACCGATAATAAAGCTGGACAATTGTGAACTTGTGAGAAAATGAACTTAACGCCCACTGAGAGGTGAAATGACCTTTTAAACATGTGTTTGAAATTGTGTCTTAGTTTGTCGAATGATCTGTCTGGGGGATTGGGACTCGTGCAACCCAAGTACCTATGACTGTGGTGAGTTTGATGTTTTATTATATTAAAGACGATTCTGAGGTAGATAGACTTTGAATTACATGACCGTAGCATGTCTTGAAGAAATTTCAAAACGCGTCGAAAAGGCCAAATGCAAATACCCTTCAAGGCTTTCTAAAAAGCCCAAGCAAAACCACGAAAATTTGGTCAAAATATATAAACTTCAAAACATCTTGGTACAGTGTATTTACGCGCTCTGTTTTTGCATAAAATGTATCCCGTTCGGGCTTACGTGTAGCACAAGTTCCAGACAAAAACAGAGTGCAGCAAGCAGTCCAATGGCGTCGAAATTTGTTCATGAATAGAACGAACGCGTGCCTTTACAAAGCCACGCATATGTCACAAAGGAGAAGGATGAAGTCCTCCAAGTTGAATGGCACGGTATGTGACCAGGTGCAACGTGAAAACTTCGAATTGTCAACAACTCGAAGTAAGCCAACTCCACAACTCAAAATGAACGAACCAGCTACAGAGGGCTCCCATAATTTTCGAAGTAGACTTTTTTTCTCGGTTATGTTATTCCTTAGTTTATGAATTTGCTATAACTAAAGGCAAATTAACCGGGACTACGACTTCAGTATGTTTATATTGTATTAAATAAAAATACAGAAGTTGCACATCTGTAAAACTGGTTCATTGAACTTGAAGGGATCAAATGAAAGTGGCAGGACTGTTGTCCACCTGCTGAATTATGTATCAAGTGTTAGGATAAAACAACCAATGCGGGACCATTGCCCAGTTGAATATGTATTACTAAATAAAATGCAAAGGCAATTGCTGGAATGTCAAATGGAACGATGCATCAATTGCAAGACTGAAGGACAACGGCGGGATTGTTGTCCAACAATGGAACAGTGCAATTGATTATGTGAAAGGGACGACGGTGGGCCTGTTGTCCATGTGGGGTATGCATTTATTAGAAAAAAAATGCTAAAACTATTGTCCAACAATGGAATTTTGCATAAATTATGAAGACAAAAGGATAACGGGGAACCAGTTGGGGGCTATGCATTGATAGGGAAGTGGAACTGTTGCTCAACAATGAATTAGGTATAAATTATGAAGAGAGGACGACGGTGGGACTGTTGTTC